TCCTGGGGTCTCTACCACCCAGTTGCTCTGGGTACCCCGTGTTCTCATGTTATCACCATCAGTAAGGTGGTTCCAGCCAATAAACTACTTCATACTATGGAGCTAGTGTTTTCTTGGCTTGTAAAAGTAACATGCAGATGGGCTGACCCTGGTGATGCAGTGGTACTGCAGTGCTATGTACGGCTGAAGCCACATGGCAAGGTCCCAGGTTCGCTTCCTGAGGTCTCCCTGTGTGTGCAGGACTTGAGCCCGTGATCTTGGCTGGGGGAGGTGGGGTGGACTGTGGCATGAAGACCCATTGGAAGTGCCTGTTTCCTTCTCTTGGAAGAAACAAATACACTTACACACACACATACACACACACACACACACACACACACAGAGGCCAACTCTTAACCCAAAAGAACGGCTTTCTAATGGTGGAGTTTTATGCACCAGATGGGAGACACTGGAGAAGGTGGTGCTCTCTGTGGTCCCTTCAATTATGTCCTTCTTTTTTTGAGAAAGAGACTTTTGGTATAGGGCGGGTACACTTGTCAGAGAGACAGAGACAGAGAGACAGAAAGCAAGAAATCATCTCCTCACAGAGGATGGCCACCCCACCAATCCCTTCTATTCCATTCTCTTCTTGGGACTTTGGTATGCACGTACACGTGCCTAGTGTGAGTTTCAAGCCACCGGGTCTGAGACTTGAACCATGGTCGACCATATGGGAGTCTAGCGCCTTAACCATTATGCCACCTGCTGGCACAGTTCAATTACGTCTTTAAGGAGCAGTCTGTACTGCTTGCCTGTGGCCAGGGCTCCACTGGGTTTCTTATTTTTAAAGTTTATTTTATTCATTATAGGGCTCATGTCTGCACATGAGAGAGAGAGAGAGAGAGAGATACCCTTGACAGGGTCCTATCGCCCTGCGAGAGACCCTCATCTCATCCTCTTTGCCTTTTCACACCATTTTGCAGCTACTTGGCCCTTCAGGATCCTGGACTCACGCACTTGTTTCCAGGCCGACTCGAACTCAGGATCACCACGTGGCCTCCAGCACTGCAGTTCAGTTTGCTACCGACTGTGCTACCAGGCTGGCCCCACTTGATGTTTTAAGTGTCCATTCTGTGCACCCACTTCTGTGTCTGTCTGAGACTGACACCCCTAAGAGCAGCCATCTCTCTGGCTAGTTCCCAGTACAGCCCCCAGGGGTGAGGGCTGGGGTCTTGACTGGGAAAAGACTTCCTTGGATTCCAGAGGCACCTTTCACACGCCCCCACCCCATGCATGCCCAGGACTCACAGTCCCCGCTTCCCGTTCCCACATGTAGGGAGAGGTGAGTTTTCCCCTGGCCCTGGAGCAGCCCTTCCTGTGAGAGCCTGCCCCACCTCTGCCGAGGTCCTGGGTCCAGCCCTTTCCCACCAAGGAGAAAATAGCAAGAAAAACAGATGGGAGCTGATACCCTCTGCTGCAGGGTCTGCTGGGATGCAGTCCCAGAGGAGCCCTAGGAAAGCTTTAACCCCGGGGTCCAGGCAGCTGGGGAGGCCCGGAGGAGGGGGAGCGAGGCACCTCTCCACCTGGAAGTCACCTCCTCCCTCTCCCCAACCTGGGACACTGTTAGCATCCACCTCTCCTCCCACCTCTCCTCTCTTGGTAGGTCGTCATTGCCCAGATGTGGGTCCCAGACTGGACCCCTCCAATCCTCAGGCTAGACAGCAGCACCAGCGGTCTCCTGGCCTACCACCTATGTCTTGAACAGGGCCCAGCGTTCCCCTTTTAAAGCACTCAGGCAAGAACCAAGGCAAGGGATACGCTCCGTCTCCCAGGTGTCCCCATCTAGATGCCCCGCAGTCAGTTGGCTCTCTGGAGGGAGCTGGGCCCGGAGTCAGCAGTCCTGGACATGTAGGTTCCCAGTGTGAGATGGGTCCTGTCATTTGCAGTGCTCACCACAGGCCGGTTACGGGGCTTCCCTGAGACATGACTGCAAGGGGCTTCGTTAGCAATAACTGCCACTTGAACAGTAGATGTGACAGCAGTGTAGCAGTGAGGGGACAGCGCCTGGCCCCATCCTTCCTTCTGCAGCTATAGCCCCCTATGGTCCTGCTGGGATGCCACCCAACCTGTGACTGCCAGGGTAGTGTTCCTTGGCCACCTCTCGATGGACCCATCCCCTCTCTTCTGCAGAGACTCATGCCCAGAACTCCTTCTCTGTCTGTGGATACTGTGCGGGAGCACTTTGAGATCATCAGGAATAAGACCTGAGCGAGAGGTTTCCATAGCCCTTAGGTGTGTTTGCTGAGCAGGACTTTGTCTAGGCGTGACTCGTCTAGGGACTTAGCAAGGGAGTGCTGGCACGGCCACAGGGCACTTGCACATGTATGATCTCATTGGATCCTCGGCCTTTGAAGGGTCCACTGTCTCATTTCACAGAGGAGGATCAATCAGGCTTATTGCAGGCCTGGGTTCCAAATTTTGGTCTCTAAGTTCTGGTGCCTGCACCAAGCCTGGGTATTCTGCCGAGGAAGCCAGAGAAGGGACTAGGCCTCACTTACAGCAAGAGAGTGAGGATCAGACTTGAGAAAACTGCAGTGAGGCACAGGTGAAGTAGTCAGCTCGCGGGACCCATGGTGGGCTGGGACCCAAGACTCCTTCGATCACAGAGCAGAGGTGGGGTGTTGCTCTGAAGGCTCTGGAGTTCTGGCGTCCTCTAATTTCACCACTGGGGTGATGGAGGGACAAAAAAAGATGTTTCAGAGCCCCTTCTGGATAGAGTGGGGAAGGAGCATCTGGCTTTTCCCACCCCTGACCTGTCACGGTGCAGCTGGGTGCCGGTGGGTAGGACAGAGCCCAGAAGTGCTGCCCATGGCAGGGACAGCAAGCATCAACCCGTGAAGGACAAAGCCACAGGTTCTGCAGGCTAGGGACAGAGGACAGCGACAGGCCTCCCTACCACCCGGTCTCAGGAGCTGTCCCAGGCTCAGGAGGGTACCCGTCTGTCTCAGAAGCTGCACTGGAAAATCACAACTCGGCAAGCTGCTGCTGCTCAGCTGGCACCTGGGCACAGAGCGGGCCTCCGGCCCTGGCACTTGCTCCAGGGCTGGTGTGTGGGCAGTGAACAATGGCTGCTGACTACCCAGGTTTAAAAGAAACTGGGGAGCCCCCAAGATGTTAAAACCCTCAGCCCTCAGTGAGGGGGAGAAACATCACTCTGGCCATGGGCAGCCTTGTCCCCCATGTGTCATCTAAATGCTTTCATCTTTTTGTTTTCTTCCTATAGGGAACATGCATTTGCCAGAGACAGAGAGAGGGGAAGTGAGAAATCACCCCAGGGGGGGGTAGCAATGTCCTAGTCCCTTCTCCTTCATTCTCCTCTCAGGATTTTGGGCCTGCATGCATACAAACCCAGCCTGTTTTCCAAGCTGCCGAGTCCGGGATTCGAACCTCGCAGCCAGCCATGTGGGTTCCAGCCAGCCTCACCACCATGCCACTGGCCAGCCCAATGCTTTCACCTTCTGTGCATGTCATGACAAGGAAAAGGTTGGAAAGCTCTGTTCCTCGTCATCTCTGTTTATTCCCTTCCAAGGCCAGATCACGATCTGTAGTCCCTTATCTATTTCGTCATGTGTGTCTTCACCCGGAACGTGAGCTGTGTAGAGGAGTGATCTTCAGCTTCCCAGCAGAGAGCAACACCCAGCACAGGAAGCTCTGCTAGGTGTTTGTGAATGAGTGCACCCGGGCATGCATGAATGCATGAATGAAAGTGTCTGGAATGCGGGAGATGCTCAGTGAGCCTCAGCTTCCTTTCCTGAGACTTTCCCAGTTAGGTTGGGGGTGCAAAGCTGGTTCTTGAGATGGACTCCTTAGGAGCTAAGCACTGACAGAGGTAAAGAGGGAGGTGGAGAATGGGGTGCTGGCAGGAGAGTATGGGACAGGGCCAAAAGAAGGGGGGTGCGGGAAGGTTCTTCATGGCAGTTGTATCAGCTGGCCGAGGGGAGGCACGTCTCATTAATGACAGGGCTCTTTTGGCCAGTGTAGGCAAGGGTTAGGAAGCACAGGATGGCGCTGCCACCTCCCACGTGGCCTCCGTCAGATCTCTTTCCTCAGTAACTTCTTACCCCACGAGGGCTGCCAGGAAGCCGTGACAAGGTCACCAGGGGGATGGATATACCAAACACACATGGGTGATATTTACTTTGGTTATTTTCTTAAATCTTTTCTTTTTCTTTCTTTAAATTTGTTATAGGGTGTGTGTGCTTACTGAAGACAGAGACAAAGGGAGAGAGAGAGAGGAGGAAAGTGAGAAATCACCTCCCAGGGGAATGGCCACGCCATCATCCCTCCTCCTCCATGCTTCTCTCAGGATTTGAGGACACGCACACATGCCTGGCCTGGTTTTCAAGCTGCTAGCTCTGGGGCTCGAGCTGTACATCGGCCATGTAGGATCCAGCCGCCTTAACCACTGTGCCACCTGGCTGCTCTTGCCATCTGCTGGTCCCATGGTCTTGATTTTCTGAAAACTTCTCAAGGAGGTTCTATGTTGTTATTTTGGAGAGATTTTTGATATAGAGTGCATGCGCTCACCAGAGAGACAGAAAGAGAGAAATCACCCCCAGAGGGGAATGGCCACGCCACAATCCCTTCTCTTCCATTCTCCTCCTTGGGCATTCACCACTTGTGCCTGGTGTGAGTTTCAAGCCTCCGGGTCCAGGACTCAACTACGTGGGAGTCCAGCGACATAACTATTACACCATCACTGGTCTCTGTGTTCTGTTATTCTTTTTGTCATTAACTAGGACCTCCCTCTGCAGGAAAAATGAGCCATGGTTTCACAAGCTCTGCCTTAAATCTTAGATCCTGAAGACTCAGCCCTCCAGCTCTGACAGGCACCTTCCACTCATTGGGCATTGGGTGGGCAGGGGCCACCCCTTAGGGTCTCCCAGGGCTGGGTAAGCCGGGAGGGGCGCTCTGTGGCAGCTGGGAGGTCACTCCTCACACTCTGCCCTCCTCTCTCTCAGGTACAAGACGGTGGTGACCCCGCGGAGGGCCGCGGTTGCCATTGCTGGCTGCTGGATCCTCTCCTTCGTGGTGGGGCTGACGCCGATGTTCGGCTGGAACAATCTGAGTGTGGTGGAGCGGGAGTGGGCGGCCAACGGCAGTACGGGGGAGCTGGTGATCAAGTGTGAGTTCGAGAAGGTCATCAGCATGGAGTACATGGTCTACTTCAACTTCTTTGTCTGGGTGCTGCCCCCTCTGCTCCTCATGGTCCTCATCTACCTGGAGGTCTTCTACCTGATCCGCAAGCAGCTCAACAAGAAGGTGTCGGCCTCCTCTGGCGACCCGCAGAAGTACTACGGCAAGGAGCTAAAGATCGCCAAGTCGTTGGCCCTCATCCTCTTCCTCTTCGCCCTCAGCTGGCTGCCCCTGCACATCCTGAACTGCATCACCCTCTTCTGCCCCTCCTGCCACAAGCCCAGCATCCTCACCTACATTGCCATCTTCCTCACGCACGGCAACTCGGCCATGAACCCCATCGTCTATGCCTTCCGCATCCAGAAGTTCCGGGTCACGTTCCTGAAGATCTGGAATGACCATTTCCGCTGCCAGCCCACACCCCCGGTTGACGAGGACCTCCCCGAGGAGAGGCCTGATGACTAGACTGCCTTCTGCTCCCACCAGCCAGAATCGGCGGGTTGCAGCCCAGCCCTGGGCTCCCACTGTCCCACCGGTCCCCTGAGACTTCCCTAGCTGGACCGTGGGCACCGGAGGCTCTGACGAGATGCCCACAGAGCATTGCCCGTCCTCAAGGAGTTCTCAGCGCTGCCTCTCTGGGTCCTGGCTGGGACTTGGGAGGGCAGCTCGTGGGGAAGGGGCCTGGTGCCCTAAGGTGAAAGGGAACGTCCTGGGTCCACCTGCCGACCATTCGGAGCATCCCGGCCCTTCAGAGCTGGCCAGGCCCTGGGAGGTGGCCGAGGCTGCGAGGGGCCATCTGACTGGGGAGAGGATGCTTGGGCTTCTGCGGTGGGTCTGTGTCCGTCTCAGGGGCTGGTACAGCCCTGGGGCCAAGGTAGCAAGAGGCAAGTATCCCCTCCAAGGTGGAGGAAAGGGGAAACAGGAACATCGTGGCCCTGCTTTCTTACCGGTTCTGCAGAAGGTGGGCAGGGCCGGCTGTGGGCAGGGCCAACTAAGGGCAGGGATGGAGGAGCCTAGTCCCACCTCCAAGGACCTCCTGGGCCATGCCAGGTGCCTGCTCTCCTTGCCCGCAGCTGCCCAGGATTGTGCTTAGGAGAAGAGGGAAGAGTGGGTCCAGAAATCTTTCCCGACACTTTGTTCTCCACCAGCTGAGTGGAGGTTCCTGCCCAGGGGAGCAAGTGTGGTGAGGTAGGAGCTGGCCTCGAGCAGCCAGCAGGCGGCAGCACTGAGCCCTCTGTCTCACCCGGAGCTTCCTGAGGAGGCGCCCAGAGTGTAACTACCTGTCATCCAAGCTTCCATTCCCCGGGACCAGTGTAAGGCCTGGACTCTCCTAGGTGACAGTCTTCTGCTGGGCCTGAAGGAGAGGAGAGCCCCAGACACACCAACTATGGGGGCATTCTGCCTGCCTGGGGACAGGGTGGGCACAGGAAGGGGTCCTTCCTCGAGGACCCAGTGCTGACACACGCTCCTGGATGACACATGGCGGGCTGGAAGAGGCCAGCAGAGATGCCCTCCTGGGAGCGCCGGGGAAGGTCTCACTGGCATTTAAATACCTACATGTCCTGGTATTTAGCTGCGTTCTCAGGGGCTTCAGGAGCTCTGCTGCAGACAGGGTCTAGAACTTTGGGATCTGGGGAAGGACTGACCTACCCCCTGCCAAGTCTGGAGCCCCTTTTACAGAGGTGCATGGAGGTGGGAGGGAGTGATGGTGGTTGTCATGTTGATGGATTCTGATTGCAAATATTGACTCCAGGCCTTGACTCCAGGCCCTTCTCTCTGTCGGGGGTGGGGTGAGGTGGAGGTCATGTCCCCTGGCGCCAAAGGGAGGCCCACGTGACTAATAAAGACCAGGAACCCTGGAGAGCACACGCTGGCTGCCAGCCCCGCCATTGTGGGGCGTAACAAGACTGCGTCATCAGGGAAGCAGCAGTAGGGGGTGGAGGGACAGGGCAGAAGTGGGGGGGGTATGGAGGTGTTTGCAAGGAGCACATTCCAGAGAGGGTGTCTGTTCCTATGGTAACGCACTTGGGTGGCAAACCCGGAACCTGACAGCAAGATCCCAGAGATTCACGTGTCTGGGAAAACCCCCCATGACATCTTGAGATCCCTCCTGCTGGCACCTTCCTCATGGTGACGCCGTGCCGCCCCCTTCACAATGACGCTCGCTGCAGAGGCCCCACTCTGGAACACCACACCCTTCTTTATTTGAGTGCATCTGGCCCAGGGCACAGCTCTGTGGGTGCCCCAGTCTCTGCACCTTCCAGGCCCCTCTGTGCCCAGAAGGCTGGCCCAGCACCTGCAAGGCCCACCCCATGGTTCCAGACTCCAGCCTCTGGGGGACTGAGGCCCGCAGGTACCAGGGGCAAGTCCATCAGCCGTCGCTATGGAGACGAGAGGGTCTTGGGCATCCATGGGGTTTGATTCTGGGCTGGGGGTCTGGCCCCTCAGGCCCGCAGCACCTGGCAGAGGACGTGCAGCGTGAGTTCTGCCCTCCATGGTTCTAGATGCTTCCTGCTTATGCAGAGCCTCAGGACTGCAAGGGACGGGAGGCAGGGCAGGGGCTGCGGTCCTCCCTGCTCTGATCAGGACTCAGGCACAGAAAACTCCCGTGCTTAAGGCCACTCAGCGACTCCCATCCTGTGACCACCCGCTGAAGCACCCTCTCCAGCTCACCAGCAGCGCCTGGCCCTGAAATAGTACCGTGTGTCTGGGACGTGTTAGTGCCTGACTGCAGACTGGACCCAGAGCTGACCGCCAGCTTCCCTCCCCCGCAACCTGCTCCCAGCCTCCTCTCCGCTTCCACACTTCCCTAGAGGTATCGGTGTGTCGGGGGAGCAGGTCAGCCATTCACCTGTCTCCTTGTCACTGCCTCCTCCAGCCGCTCTTCAGTGTGTGGCCGAGGCTGGAAGAGATGCTGCACGTTAGAGCTGGGCGGAGGGCGAGGGCGAGGGAGGGCCCGGCCAGGTGTCCTCCCCACACTGGGCCAGCCTCCTTCCTATCAGGATTTGGGGGCATGAACACACATGTGCCAGGTGTGTTTTAGCTGCTGGAGCCACAGTCGTTATTAGGATCCTGACCTCGACCCTTACTCCCTTTCTCTCTGGCCCTGATTTTCAACCCTTAGCTGCATCTGGTCTAGCTGCAAAGGGGTGGCCCTGCTGTTCACCTTTGACCTCCAGCCGGCAGTCCACTGATGCCTCGCCCAGCACATTGACGGCCTTGCAGGTGTAGACCCCGGAATCAAAGGGGCTGGGTTTCCGGATCTCCAGGGTGCAGACGCCTTGCTCTGAGAGGGCACGGTATTTGGGGTTGCCCTCGATGTCCATCTTGTTTTTCATCCAGATGATCTTGGGCTGGGAGATATGGTCAGAAGAGAGCCGGGAGGGTGTGGGCTGGGCTGGGCTCTCAGAGGCCATCCTCAGGCTTCAGGGGAGATTTCTCAGCCCTACTCCGCATCCACCACCCCGCCAGGGCATAGCAGCTGGCCCCTCACCTTGGGTGATGCTCGCACACTGCAGAACAACTGGGTGCTATAGCCAGGTGTGGAGGTGTGGTCGGCCAGGGGCTGGGTGAACGAGGGTGCTTCGGAGAAGTCTCGCTCAATAAACCCTTTAGGTTTGGCAGCAATATCTGGGTTTGGCGGAGAAAGTGGGGTACGCTTGAGGTGACGGAAGTGGAGGAGACCTCTCAGGGCTGACTGGAGAGCAAGGTATGGCTTGTCTGCAGGGACCTGAAGATCGAAGTGTCGAAGAGGCAGAGGAACGCTGAGGCCGTGCCCGGTGGGTCAGGGCAGTGGGTGGAGAGGAATGGGCAAGAAAACCAGAGGCAAAATGGCCTTGGTCAAAGGTGGGACTAGCAACTCTGAAACACTGCAGTTCATCTCTGGTTTTAGAGACCTGTCTTTTCCTTCCTTTTTATTTATTTATTTATTTATTTTTTGGAGAGATTTTTGCTATAGGGCGCGTGCGCTCGCCAGACAGAGAGAGACATACAGACAGTGAGAAATCATCCCCCCATGGGGGATGGTCACGCCACAATCCCTTCTCCTCCATTCTCCTCTCGGGATCTTGGGAACGCACGCACACGCGCCTGGCGTGAGTTTAAGTCACTGGGTCCGGGATGCGAACCACAGTGGCCTACATGGGAGTCCAGCGACATAGCCATTACGCTAACTGCTGGTTCCCCTTCTTTTTAATTTTTGTAATTGCCAGAAGACACGGGAACTCACCAGAAAGAAGGAAGCTGGAGCATGTGTCGGGGTGGGAGGAGAGTGTGAAACCACTCCCCGAGGGGAATGGTCACACCACAACCCCCTGCCCTCCATTTCTCTCTTCTTTCTGGATGTTGGGCATGCATGCACACGTACCTGGCATGTTTCTCAAGCCACCAGGACCAGAACTCAGTGAGTGCCTTAACCACCATGCCACCAGCTTCCTCACTCCCCACCTTTTAACTTAATTTAGTTTTGTTTTTATTACTACCAGAGGGTTGTGTGCTTGTCAGAGAGAGAAAAAGAAAGCACCCCCAATGGAGTGTGGTCACTTCACTGTCCCTTCTTCTCTAATCCTCCTTCCCATCAGGATTTAGGGGCATGAACACACATGTGCCAGGTGTGTTTTTCAAGTTGTTGGAGCCAGAGTCAAACAACAGCCGTGTGGGACCCAGCTCCCCTACACTGCAGTAGGGGGCCAGCCCCTGGCTCTTCTTTTTAAAAATTCTTGCCAGAGGGCACATGCACTTGCAGGGAAAGGAGGGGTGAGAGAAAATGAGAAAGTACCTCCCAGACGGCATGACCCCTCTCCTCTGTTTCTCCTTTTGGGACTTTGGGCACATGCAAACGTGTGTCGAGCATATATTTCAGCATATATGCTGGGCGTGGGACTCAAACTGTGCAGTAGGCCATGTGGGATCCAAATGCCTTAACCACCACACCACCAGTTGGCCCTGGCTCTTCTATTTTAAACAGAAATGGCTTCCTGGTTCTGTCCAGCTCAAGCTGGTCTTACAATGAGTGCAGTTTTCAGAGCCCCCGGGGGCTCAGCTGGTGGTGGTGGTGGAAGGGCACTCAGGGCAATGGAGGAAAGGAACCTGGAATTGCCGTTTGCTGCAAGGGGGTCAGGTGGCTGGGTGGAGACTGCAAACCCTCGTATTTCCCTGGTCATCTGAGTGATGTTCTCTTAGGATTGGAAGGTGTGGGCTTGCAGCAAACCCGCCAGGGCCTCTCTATCCAGGCGCACGCTGCCTGTCAGAGCAGTTCCCCTGGGAGGCTGCGTGCAAGGCCTGATGATGGGCGATGTGGCAGCCCCATGCATCTGCAGGACAAGCGCACAGCCTCCTCAGGGACTCGCCCATTTGCATGGGTTTGCTCTGCTGTGTTTGTCAAAATCATTCAACCCCATCCGGTACTTTATAGTCACCGTGTCAGGATGTGTGCGTGTGTGTGCACGTGTGTGTGTACACGATGCACGTGCATGACTGTGGAGTGGGAGGGCAGCAAGTGTTTTAGGGACCAGGCACCCAGAAGTCCTGAGAGAGGGCTGGAGTCAGCAGGACCAGCCCTAGCTTGGGTTCCGGTCAGCCCAGCTCGACCCACCTGCCTTCTTGATGTGGGCGAACTCCTTGGTGACAGCGGCGGAGTCGCTGAGCCCGCACAGGTTTTCCGAGAAGACCCGGAAGGAATAGGAGTTGCCGATGATGAGGTCGGAGATGGTGCAGGTGGTTGGGTGGTAGCGCTCCAGCACCGTGAACCATTGCTGCGGAGACCCCAGCCCTGTCACCTTCATTTCACCCCTCCCCCTCTGTTCTTGCCCTCCCCACTTACCAGGAAACCCCTTCGTCAGGAGCCTCATCCCATGTCCCCTACCCCAGGAGGCTGAACCATGCAGCTTTGGGCCAAATGGTCTTTGAACTGGGAGAAGGGGCCCTTGGGTCACTCAGGTGACCTCTCTGGGGTCGTCCAGGAGCCTGATTACCAAACATAGACCTGCAATGTGCTACCTTAGCATCTCCTGGGGATGCCTGGGACATGCAGAAGCCCAGCCCACCCCAGGCCCACCGAATCAGACCCTGCAGCTCAGCAAGAGTCCCACATGCCTCGCATAACATTGAGATGAGAGGAACACGACTTTCGGCTTGAAAGGCCTCAGGGTGCCCAGTCCAGCTGTCCTTGTCATCTCCAGGAGGAAATGGCTCAGAGAGGGACACTTTGCCAAGGGCCACATCAGGGGCCTGGCTAGCGGCAGTTAGACTAGAACTCACTGGGTGGTCCTTTCTGCTGCCATGGCCACGTCCCACCCTGCCTGCTCTCTGCCCCAGCAGGCCTCACCCCTGTCTTCTTGTCCGCCTTCTGCACTGTGTAGCCCAGGAGCTCAGTGTTGCCCGTGTCCTGGGGTGGCGTCCACTCAAGAGCTGCGTTGCAGCCCCAGACGTCCAGTAGCCTGATACTGCTGGGGGGCCCAGGCTTCTCTGCAGGAGCAGATGTGAAGGGTGGTGAGCGTGAGGGCTGGGTACCCCCGAAGTCCCCGTACCCAAGTTGTGGGTCTGGCCACACACCCTCAGCCTGCCCCATTGACTATCAGCCTCCGGGGGAGGTGGAGGGCCCCTGTCCCTGAGGGGGTAACCCTGGCTTCTGGGCCACCTACCAATCACCAGGATGTCGATGGCTGCCTTAGCCTCTAGGCCTTCCAGCTGCACGGTAAGCTCGTAGCGGCCTGAATCGGAGCGCTGAGCCGAGCGGATGAAGAGGATGGAGTCCTGGTCCCCAGTGCGCACACTCACACGCTGGCTGTCCAGGGCATGGCTGTTGTGGGTCCACGAGGCCTGAGGCTTGGGCTTCCCCTGGCAGGGAGGCACCCAAGGGGTGAGTCAGGGAGGGGCCAGCTTCCCCGCCCCAGCCAGCTCCAGGGGTCTCATTACGAAGGGCACCAGAGGCTGGGGCTGCCTAGAACCGCATCCTCAGGTGTCCAGCCTGCTCTCCTGCCATCCACAGGGGGGAGAATCACAACCCAGTCATGTGCTCTTTATGTGGGTCCAGCGGGGCTGACCGGAACCCAGGGAGGATGAGGCCATGATGGGACCCAGGAAGATCCACAGGGACCCTGACATTTCTGAGGCCCCCCTGGCACATCTCAGATGGGGCTCTGGTTTCCATACAGGCTCTTACCCATGGTGGAGCCATGCTCACCTGGAAGGGGATTTGCAGGTTAACTGCCTGTCCCACCTGGCGGATATAGGTCTGACGAAGATGGCGGGGGACGCGGATCTTGGGGGCCTCTGCATTAAACAAGAGTCAAGACTCAGCACAGCAGTGGGGTGGCTGGCTACACGCCTCCGAGGCAGGGAGAGGGGACAGCTGGTGACGGCTGTGGCTGGGCAGAAAGGGCTTTGGAGGGCGTGTGGCTAACTGGGGCTGGCTCCTTGTGGGAAGGGTGAAGCTCTCATTCCCGAGGTCTAGGGACCCAAATCCCTTAAGGCCTTAGGAGCTGAGAGCTGGGAGGTTCCAGGGAGGTCAGGGCCTCCATGGTGTGAACTAGTCGGCATCCGGGGCACTCCCTCAGCCTGGACCCTGCCAGCCTGGGATTTGCCCTGCAGCCCAGGCATTCCCAAGCTCCAGCTGGGCCCAGCTGGCTCTCTGCCTCCCCCTGGTGGGGAGCAAGTGCGGCACCTGTCGGACTCCCCTGGGAAGGAAGGCGAGCCTCTTCCTGCCCAGCCAGCGCCACGACCCTGGCCAGCCCAGGACGTTCAGAGAAGTCCTTGTGAACTCCCATTTGTCCGTTCCTCTGCCTCCAGGCCCCATTGGGAGGATTAGGACCTTTCCTTCCTAAATGAGGCCAGAGCAGGTAGCCCCTCTTCATCTCATCACCTCCCACGATCGTTTTCCTACCCAAGGTCTGATTTCACTCCCGGCTAGGGTGCAGAGCCACCTTCCTCACCACCACCTAATCAGGTCAAGCACCAGCCTCTGGCACTCCCAGTGAAACTGCAGCAGCCCTGCCGCTGCGTCCTGTCGGACTCCCCTGGGAAGGAAGGCGAGCCTCTTCCTGCCCAGCCAGCGCCACGACCCTGGCCAGCCCAGGACGTTCAGAGAAGTCCTTGTGAACTCCCATTTGTCCGTTCCTCTGCCTCCAGGCCCCATTGGGAGGATTAGGACCTTTCCTTCCTAAATGAGGCCAGAGCAGGTAGCCCCTCTTCATCTCATCACCTCCCACGATCGTTTTCCTACCCAAGGTCTGATTTCACTCCCGGCTAGGGTGCAGAGCCACCTTCCTCACCACCACCTAATCAGGTCAAGCACCAGCCTCTGGCACTCCCAGGAAACCTGCAGCCCCCCTGCCGCTGCGTCCTTGGGCGGGTGCTGGGCGGGCACTGAGCTCCTCAGCAGCAAACAGGTGGCAGCAGTTGGCTGGTGGCATGCAGGGTGGGGGCAGAGGAGACGTGAGCAGGAACACTGCGTCTCCAAGGATTAGCTGAGCAGGCACTTGGCCTGGGAGCTTCAGGCGTGGAATGCTCTAGGGGCAGCTGCAGGGGGCCAGGAATGCTGAGCAGCTCCAGGTGGCCTGGGAGGGACAGCTGAGCAGCCGAGGCTCCTGGACAAGGCCCTCACACTGCCCTGCCTGCGGGGAGCCTGGCCGGGTCCTGCTTATTCACGGCCTCCTCTCTTCTCTCCAGGAAATCTCTCCCGCCAGAGGAATCTGAATGGAGAAGTGGGTGCTGAGCCTGGCTGGGCCTCAGGGGCCTCTCAAAGTTTATGCTCCCTGGGGCCCCCGGGGGAGGGTCCAGGGTGCTCTTCACCAGGAGGGCTCCCTGGCACCTTCGGGCTGGAGTCCACGGGTGCACACAGCGGCTGTCAGATGGGCCATGTCTCACCCAGATTCCAAGCCGGGAGTGTCCTTGGGTCTTAATAAACCACCCAAGAAGATGCCCTGCAACCCGGTGGAGCCTGAGGGTCCTGTGTGGGCATTGGATTCTGAGACTGCCACTAAAAGGCAGGGTGGCCTCGGGGGAGTTCTGGGGTTCTGCTCAGCTGAGATGGAGCTGCTGACAGTCTGAGCCTAAGTGCCTAACTCCGTGGCTCTCACAGCTCTGCGACCACAGAGATGGGCACTTTCTCCACGTAGCCTCGATCCCTCCTGTGGCCATAGTACCCTTTCCTGCCAGAGACCTCGTCCAGAGCTTCGGGGTTCTGCCTGGCCTCTGCCAGGAACTGTCTGTCCCCCTGGTGGAGGGACAAGAAGGAAGGTGAGGAAAGCCTCAGGGCACCCGCTTGCCCATGTCTCTCTTCACCTTGGGGCCCTGCACTGTCCCCAGAGACCTGAGATCAAACCGAATGACTCATTGCCATTAACAGACTGAAACCCGAGTGGCTCTGGGAGGGCCGAGGGCAGGCGAGAAGCTGATGTGCCCTGAGAATAGAAATATTAGCAATGGGCACTGCAGCTGGCCTCTAGGTCCCCAGCAAAGCGCTGCTTCCTGGGGATGGAGAAGCCATCGCGGGCATCTTAGGGCCCTCTTCTTCCTCTCACTAGGGCCGGGGGGAACCAGGGCAAGCAGGGCCTCTCTCTGTTCCAGAACCTTTGGGAGAGTCTGGAATCCGGGCCATGGAGGCATCAAGAGTAGAGAAGAGGAGGGGCTGGAGGACTCTTAGCACTGGGACCCCGAATCGGGTGACCCAGGGAACTCGGGGCTGGACATCTCAGGGAAATAGCTTCTTGTCCATTTGCTGAGACCCCTTGCTGCTGAGGAACCTGGAACTTTCCAAAGGCAAGATGTGCTAGCGTGTGGCATGTGCACGTGGCTGTGGAAGGGGAATGGACGCCATCTCCCTCTGCCCACAGAACTCAGTTTCTCCACTGGATGAGCTGCCTGGGCCGGGCCGGGCGGGGGCGAGGGTGCACTTACCGACGTGCTCTCGGATGTGGACAGGCTGGGCCAGCACGGCCGGTGGGGCCGACCCCGCCGAGCTCACCCCCGGCCCGCGCCG